TCCCATATATCGAGAGTACGATTCCAAAGCAGCTGCGCCCAAAGGCTGCTTTCAAAGGTATTTTGTGGAGTTTCTTGATCATAACCACAGCATTCTTTTTTGCTCTGGGGTTTCTTTTTTTTTTGATGAGGAAAATTGTCTAAGGGCGAATGTTACTCGTCATACAGATTTGATGTATGTGTGGCTTCTTTCAAGCACATGTTATCGCAATTCAAAAACAGTTGGGAAGTGGGGATTTCGTTCTATTACTCAGCTCTCATCTTTCTAATAGTAGAGCTTCTCAGGGAAAAATAGAGTAGGCATTGGGCGATGTTAGGTTAACGAATAATTTGAAAAAAAAAAAAATCCGGAATTATTGCAGAGAAAAACAAGAAGGCTGGATATGGTGATAAAAAGAAGAAAAAGAATAAAGAAGTGGGTGCGAAATGAGGAAGAAGTAGGTGCGGAGGATACGCTGTTGTGAGTAATGCTTGGAACGTAATGATATACATAGAGTGCAGTCATTGTACAGATGCACTCATTGTTTGTTGTAATTGTTTTAATAAACTTTTGTTGGTTTTATTTCCATGTAACACACATAATAACTAACAAGCAAATATTTCGCAAGAAATCCCCAAATATTTTTTTTCCACACTGATGCAGGGCAAGTACTGTACGTCACCGCTCTTACGATTTCTGAACTAAAGACGCAAAAAAAAATGAAGGTGAATCCAGCGAATTGACGGTCCCCCCAACTATCTTGGATTTCTTGGAAATGCCGTCATCAGGGGTGGGGATGGCAGGCGAGGAAACGGGCGAGAGGAAGGGGGTACGACAGGGATTTCCGGTACAAATAAAAATCCGGGTCTGAAATGCTGAATTTAACAGAGTGGACAAATTTGTGCTGAAACACTGTAATAACTGAAATTAGTCAACCATTAGGCTACGTGAGCGTTGCTCTAACATCGCAACTAAATATGTCAGAACGACAGTTGCAGCAAAATTGAGCCGTGGAAGTGTGTGTGTATGCGCACACATATGGGTGTCTGTCTGTCCCTCATACCGTTGGTACTTCGTGTAATTCAGGATGGAAATGGTGCGCGAGGTAGACCATGCAAGTCGATTTTGGGGCCTTAAATCCCTTTTACTTCCAGTAAATCTGAACTGTGCTGTGGGCGCGTAGATTCCATTCAAGGCAATTTTCAATGTTTCAGACAGTGCATCTCTCAAAATACGATATGCGCCCATCGGACCAGTACAATGGCATTGCCCTATAACCGTAGTGTTTCGAAGTTAAGGGAATTCGGTAGTGGGTCTCAGACTCGGACAAGCTGCATTTCGATGACCAGCACTGGTCATTTTTTGCAAAGGAACCCGTTAACTTGTCCAGTCCTGTCGTGATATTCAATGAAATGAATGGCAGACAATCAATTTTGACCAAAGTAGCACAGTTTGAGCGGGATTTGGTCGCTGAGAGGCAACGGTGATAAGTGAAGTGCTCCTTTTTAGTGGTGTACTCAGTTCCTTACAACAGAGTGTTACCAACGTGGAGTCGTTACTCTCTGCGCAGAAACTGCGTATTTTGAGTGAAGTGACGCGCTTCCCTAGTTGGAAAGGCTCAAAACTTTACTATTATTAAAAACCTCGATTTTTTATCTTCCGCGACAAATTAGCACCTCGTTGCTTTTTGCTTTAACTAAATCTTGCGTCCAGATGCTACACTTCCTTTGAGCGAATACGTAAGTTTTGCTAACTATCGCACTCCACGAGCTCAGTTTTGAGCCTTTCCAATTCAGTTCTGTGCCCGCACACCCAACGCACCATGTGAACGATTACGACATATCTTGGCTGCAAAACAGGGCCCCTTCCCTGGATGTGCATGAAGGTTCAGGAAGTGGAGCATTAGTTCAGCTTTCTAGCAACCTCTTGATACATGGAATGGATTTCTCCTTTTTTTGGGATAATAGTAAAACCTAGCTGTGCTACCATGCTCATCAACTACAATTGGGCAGCAGGTGATGATGGTGGTATGATGCTTCGTTTTCGACACTGTTACTGTCCTCAGCGGCCATACGTCATATATCCGTAGTACCCCGTGCCGACAGGATACTGACCATAATAGGCAGCTGGATATGCGGCCGGATAACCAGCATATGTTCCGTAACCGTATGGTACCATTGCTGATGACTTATCGTAATAATTTGGCATCATATAGGCACCATGCTTCGCTTCAAATGCTCGTTCCTCCTCCTCCTGAAACCTCTCAAATTATTTTCCAGGTTAGAATCATACAAAAATTTCTTCCCAGCAGTAGCTTTCTGCTTTTCATTCTTGGCTTTCTGATGAATTTCAGAACTTGTGATGCGATGCATTTTACTAATCCCATTCGGCCCAAAACGCTTCGCCGACTCTTATCGTTTCTTTATTCAGTGATATGCTACGCCGATTCATTTTTGAATGAATTGCTGGTGTTTAAAATTCCGTTTCTTCATTATAAGTTACTGTCTCTTTTATATATCATCATTTTTGAATCATTCGTGTCGTGCATTCGAAGAAAATTTCGGACAATGACGTCAGAAAATGAGGGAGAATAAAAAACCGGAAAAATTCTGAAAATGGTGTGCTGCGGTGAAAAATGCGGAATGCATGAAATAAGGAATGAGGTCACCACAACTAATAGGTGGTAATGATGTAATCGTGCAGCAATTCAAAATGACTGTCGAATTTTTCATTGACTTTTAAAACCGCTACTTCAGGCCGCAAAAAAAGAGATTTCCTGTGTATCAGAAGCAGTTTGCCAGAAGATCCCTCTATTAGTCTGTGATTTGATATGTATTTTCGTTCCATCCCAAGGTCATCGTTGTTGCATTAACTGTAGTGAGTTCCGAAATTTTTTTTTACATCTTTGTGGTACTTTCTTCAAACAGCGGGTCCGGATTCCCGAATCGGTCAGGCCACGCAGAGCCGATTAAGATGGACGGATATATTTTAAAAAAATTGTTAATATACTGCTACAAAAATAATGCAAATGTCGTTACGACCAAGACAAATGGTATCCGAGTAAGGAACGTATAACTGTGTCAGGGGGCGAATATATACTAGAACCTTCAGCTGGAGAATGTGCAGAGCCAAGGTCAAGCAGCGAAATACGCATTCAGAATATGGACAACAACAAACATACGAAGACCTACAGTGCCACCGATGTCTCCACAAGCAAATTTTACTTGCTCACTGGACAGAACACAAAGTTATTTCTACATCTACCCATTATACCCCTCCAACTGGGAATCGTAAACACAAAAAGGGCTTTTGCTTGCAGCTACACATTTTAATAAAATCTCTTGGTCGAAAAACCAGTGAAGTTGGAGGCACGGGGAGAGTGGGGGGGGG